CCTGGCTGGCTGGCCATGAGAGCCACCCATTTCTTCATGTAGACGTTGCATGTGCAAATCTTGCGATTTTCGCGCGGGAATCATGTCAAAATCTAGTTAGGCGCCCGGAGTGGCCGCCGGGGGTGACGGAAGCGCGAGCGCCGACGCGCGTGGCCGGCGGCCAGCCGGTCGCCGCAGCCGCCCCAGGACGGCGCGGCGCGCCGTAGGCGCGCGTTGTAGAGGTTGTAGCGAGGGGTCGTTCCGTGGACCGGACGTCCCTGGCTGGCTGGCTGGGTCGACCCCCGGCGGCTGGCTGCGGTCTTGGCCTGCCCTTGAGCCGGAGCGCCGAAAGAGTGCACTGAAGGCTCGAAGGCAAACCTGAAACGGCCGGAGCTTCTGGATACATCTGACGCCGTACATACACGGCCTTGAAAGAAGCTGCCCCAAAACGCGGGACAAAAGGCTACTTCGGCTGCCCCCGGCTCTCCGCGCGCCCCCCCGATGAATTCGCCGCCCCTTGACGACGCCCCGCTGGGCCCCCTGTCGGCGCGGTGCTGCCAGCGCTTCGTGTCCCACCTCAAGGCCGCCGAGGTCTACACCGTGGTCGGCGCGCTCCTCGTCGCGCACCGCGTCGGCGCCGCCGGCGGCGCCGCGGCCCTCGGGCCCGTCGAGGACCTCGCGGGCGGCGCCGCCGTCGGCGCCGCCGACGCCGAGGCGCTCTGGCGCCTCGCCTGGGACGGCGCGCCCGGCGTCGCGCGCGGCGGCGCGGCCGCGGCGCTCGCGCGCGCGTGCGCGACGACCACCGGCCTCTTCGGCCGCGTGCGGTCCTACCTCTTCAACTACCGGCGCCGGTTCAGCCTCTACTTCGACTTCGTCGCGACCTTCGCGCCGCGCGACGAGACCGTCGAGGTGCTGGTCGCGACGACCGTGTGCCCGCTCGTGAAAGTTGCCGTCCACGCGGCCGACCCCGCGGCGGTGCTCGTCGTCGCCGTGCGCCGGGCCCTGGGCGCGGCGCTCCTCGCGCACAAC